TTTACAGAGTACATTATGAAAAGTCTTCGATCTTAACTACAATATCTCACAATAAAATGACAATAAAGCCCTCACAGTACTTTAAAACTTATGCTGTTACACTATCAGTTTTGTACAAACAGAAAGATAGAAATGAACGGCTTGGCCATGTAACTCTTCTACCGTACTGTGATTCTGTCACGCTTCTTCTCTATGTGGTCTCTCTTCAAGCTTTCGAAACAAAATACTTCCACACCTCTGAAACATCTTAAACTGAAGACAAAAGTATGCTCAATACTTTCAAATGTACCCACAGTCTATATGTTCTTCTGTTTACTAAATATTACAAAAATACAAACGACTACTTTTTCGTTGAAAAGTATGTTTCTCGAAAACGTATACGTTTCGAAAACTGTCAGACAAACTAAACACAAAAAAACCGTGATGGAATCACACCGCAGTAACAGAACTACATGATCAAGCTGTGCAGTAAACCTCAAGAGTAAATCCACTATTCGTAGTCTGTATGCGTACAAGCAACACATCTGATAATCAACTTATATAAACTCTTCTCAACAATGATCTCATTTCGATCTATGAACAAACTTCTTTCCCAATCGCTTGATGTGCTGAGTCATACAACTTCGTATCGTGCACTTACCTGTGCCGTTTCGTCTCCTCTGATCATTTTCTCTGCTACTACCACCAAGGATACGCTTCTTCGGTCCGCCTGACGACATTTTTCGATTTCATCCACACCTCGAACAAAACACCACTCATAAAGTAATGTGCTGGTTTATTCTTTCAACGGTAATTAAAACAAAATCCACAACACATAAAATACAAAAACTTGAGTCTCAACAGGATTACAAACTCTCGTATATACAATAAAAAGTTGTTATGGTTACAAATGGGAATCTTTTACAAATTTGTTTCCTTGGCTGCCATCTCCAGCGTACGTATGCTTCAGTTTCTGATACGATATTCGTGGACGATCAGACATCGCATTTGTTGTTGGAAGAGGAGAATAGCCTTCATCGTGAACGCTTTCGTACGATGGCTTCACGTTTATTTTTCTCGTTTCAATTGAATACAAAAAGTCGCCTAATTGTTTCGCGATTTTCCGCTCATTCAAACTAATTTCACGATAGTCGAGAAAATTTAACGTTGGAATACGAAATATGAGTAGATGACGATAACGTTGATATTCCTCTTCGCTCCGCTCGCTTCGTAAAGGACTTGTACCAAAACTAACAGATTCATCACTCGTGCTTGTGGAGTTCGCGAACAACTCGTAAGGACATGCTTCATTGCCTAACAGAGATAGATGAGCTAGTAACGGAAAAGAGCTTTTCAGTTGCTCCACTAATTTGTAAATGTCTTGGAAACGGTTCTTGTTCAACATCAATGTGTGCAGTTTCGATAGTTTTGGAAACTTTGTGCTACCATCATTAAGCCAGTTGTCATCGAGAAATAACTCTTCCAGATGAGGAAAACTCTTCAACGAATACAGCGTCTGGAAGTGATTGCCACTCAAATCGAGGATCTAAAACAAGCACTTTATGACATGCATCGTATTCATCATTACGAATCTGAGTACATACACGAGTTTTGAGTGCAAATGTGTGAATAATCTCGACTGGAATATCGTCCAAATCATTCGCCGTACAAACAAGTTTTTCCGCTTCGGAATCGTATAAAAACTTTTCATGAATTTTCGAGTTCAATGACGTTGTCAGTTCACTCGTTGTCGATTGAGACGAGTGGTTAGGTGAATAAGATAAACTTGCATCATCCGAAACCGACATTTCTGTGCGTGGCTCCTGATGCGGTTGTCGTAATGAAGATGAAATTGATGATGTTTCACTGTTCACTTCTTCTTCGATGTCGACTGATGATAGCTGCTCATCCGACATTTGAGCTAAATTCATTGTTCAACGTCTAAAAACAGAAGTTCAAGATATGATAAACTGTCAGAGCTCTAGAACACACATCTTAAAGTTTCGCTTTTCAAGTTTTACTAGTACAGTAAACCAATCTTCATAAGAAAATGCTAAGCTTTCTGTATGTGAAGTCCCGAAATGCGAGTTCACAATGTCTTTGTGATAAGTCTGAATGAAAGAAGAAAGTGTGTCCTATAGTAGCGGATCAGGACTCACATAGTTTGTACTTTCTTAGTGGAGCGCTGTGCAGTTGACATTACGTTTTTCGCATTCGAACTGTGAGTTCGCATAAAATTCGTTTAACTTTGCAGGTGAGAGAGATATCTGTTATCACATCACAAATGACTCACCCTTTCTTTTCACGTTTTTTTCCCGTTGCGAAAGTACTCGACTTAGCATAGAACATCCAATGCAAATCTCGAGCACCATTGTTGCGTCTTTCGAGAGGGCTAGACGACGAAGTTTGGGAAAAATGCAGTATGATCCACCATTTGCGACCCGCGAAACTTCATTCAACGCTAGAATACAAACATCAGCGACACGACTGCTACATAAGTAGTATAATGATGAGAACACATGTATATGTCTTCTGCAGTGAATTATAAATTGCTCTTGCAAACATTAGTATTGAATTAAGGGATCGTAATTTAGATGTGTCGTCGAAAAATGGATTGAAATATGGTGGTAACTGGTGCGTACCACTTAGTTGAAAGAGCATCTTAGTGACTGTAGTTTTGTCGCAGTACTTTGCTCGTGTAATGCAGCCAGTATTCGTGTATGTCTAATAGTAAATACAGATGCTAATATTGACCTAGCGTGTAAGTGGTTGATATTTAACTTGACATGTACCTGGTCAAGTATTTGTC